GTGGGAGGGGCAATGAGCTGAAAGCTAGGATTCCAATCTATACTCCATATTTTGGGAAGCACTTTTTTTCTTTTTTAAAAGTAAGTAAATTTATTAATGTCACTTAATAAAAGACTCCAAGATTTTGTGCTGGTTATAGATTTTTTTTAAATGTGAAAAGACTACTGAACTGTTATTAGCCTAAAATATTGGTCAAGTTTTATCAATATAATGGTGTCATCAGGATAATGCAAGCATGTCAAAGGTCATTCCCTTATCTTTAACTTGCAGATCACTCGTTACAAAATTAAAGCAGAAAGGAAAGATTTTCTAATGAATACAATTTAAATGTGCAATATTTTCAGTCAGCTGAGATTACTTTGATGAAAATGATACTTAGGGAAATGTTTCCCTCCAATTTTTATGTTGAAAGTTTACTAGAACTATTGGAATTATAAACAAGTAACATTCATCTATTTAATCAACAACAATTTTTCGTAGCCACTGTATGGTAAACTTATTTATACCAAGGTTAAAGTAACTTGTGATCATTAGTTTTTGTTATATGGAAAATAGGATGCAATGCACAATGACATTACAAAAAAAAAAAGAAAAAAAAAAGTCTTTTTTCTATTATCTTAAAAGTCATTTTTAGTCTTTAGAGTTATTTGCACCCTTACTTTAAAAAAAAAATCTAAGTTCATTCATTCCCCACCATAAATTTTTAGTTATGCTAAATTTACAAAAAATATATGAGCAGCCAACAAGTTTATTTTGGAAACTTTTTTTTTTGCTTCAGATTCCCACCTCCAGAACCAAAGTTTATTACATTTCTGTAAATTTTGACAGAATTTCAACATTTCAGATACCTCAAATTTGCTTAAAAAATGTTTTTGGCATATGTGACTACTGAAAGGAGGAGGAAAATGTGCCGTCATCTGATCAAAGAATATTGATTAAAATAAATAAATGGTCATGTTCATATTGCAAAACTATTAAATTAAATTAAACTATTTTTTTATCATCAAAATGGTGTAAGTCAAGTGTAGACTGCGAAAAAGTTAGGGAAGTGATTTTTGTGTCCAACATATTAAATCAAGATTTCTATTGGGGAGAGAGAAAAAAAAAAAAAAGTGTTATCAACGAGTGTTAAGGGTAAATAAAATAATCTTGTCTTGTTCAATATGTTGTTCCGGTGGCCGTTAAATTTTTCTTTTTTGGTTTGAAGTCATGAAAAAAAAAAAAAAAAAAAAAAAAAAAAGAAAAAAGGACGACCTGATTGGTTGTTTATTGGAAACTCGAATAGGCTGGTTAGTTGATTGTTGTTTAATTAGAATCTATGATAGCACTTTTTTGTTTGTTTATTTTTGGTCAATGTCAACCTAAAAATCGATTAACAAGATCCCCTCCACACACAAATTCAATTATTTTGAAAATTCGAAATAAATGCGAGATGAGGGACGGTCACGTTTATAAACTTAAAAAAAAAAAAAAAAAACTTAATGTATAAAAAGAAGTGTAATATTTCTAAGGTGGACAATGCTCGATTTTAACATCTGTCGACAGTTTCAAATTGATTATAAAATAAAATATCACTGTCTTTCTCTCTTTAGGTAGATTTTCACTAACTTGCGTGAAATGAGAAGTTTTGTTGTTGATGGTAGTCGTCATGGTGATCAATCAGTATTCGTAAAAGTAAAACAAAAATAATAATTTACAGTACTGTTCAATATCGACACAATTAGAGAAATGTGTTTCTGCTAGGAGAGAAAAAAAAAACGTTAAACTGAATGATTTTCGTTTTTAATGGTGTATGTTGCGAACAATTCACTCAAGCAAGACATTTCAAAATCTACACAATATGGTGAATAACTGACGACAAAAAGGTTGTATTTTTCCCTCCCACTCATAACAACACCGCATGTCCCAACAGCAAGCGGGGGTCTTTTTTGTGCCTGAAAAAAGCAACAGTCTTCGTTAACGAAGACCCCCGCAAAAGTTAAAAATCCTAACTTGAATATATCACTTCTTTACAAGTCAATAAAAATGATTCGGACGGACAGGACATACACAAAAAATAAAGTAGAGAGTGTGTAAGAGAAGAGGGGGAGGAAACAAGCATTTAAAGTTAAAATACTTTAAAATTTTCGGCGAGTCACAAAAACATTACACAAAAACCGAACAACTTTCAAAGCAACAACATTAACAATCACAACCAGTACAGAAGGAAAACTTTATATTTCACTGACATTAAATTCGAAATTATAAAAATGACTGTGTTACGGTTTTTTTGCACCAATCTTGTTGCCAAGTAGATTTTTTTTGTTGCCCGCCTTCTTCTCGTGTGTATGTGGGGGTGGGGGGTCGTTAGTGACTTTTTCCCTTCTAGTTTGGGAGCTTGAGGACAACGTATATGAAAATTTGAAACTTTTAATATTTTAATTTTAATAATTATACATTACAACTGTTACTATAAACTTAATTTTTTTCTTCAATAAAAATAAGCTCAATATATTGTTCAGTATTTTACCGTTTGTAGCTAATTCAATCAATGTACAACTAAACTGGAATCATTTTTTTTTTTTAAGTGAATGGAAGAAAAAAAAGATTCTGGGCCAAAAGTAGGGTACTGCCACAACGAAATAATATTATTAGACAGAAAGTGGGGGAGCCTGATGACTTTCTCGTCATTGGACTGGGCAAGAGAAGCTCCTACTTCTTAGCAGTCAGTAGTGGGGGTAGTAGGAGCACCCACAATCTTCTGAAAAGAAGGCTGGTGGCAGTGGTGGTGAGAACTGTTGGTAGAAAATAGCTACAGAAGTCAGCTCTTCTTTTGTAATAAAAATCATGTTAAAAAATACTATAAAAATTCATTGTTTGTTGAAATGCAAATATAGATTTCAACAGAAGTGTATTCTTGTAGAGACGAATACTGTCGTCAGGTTATGAGGGAAAAGAGAAAGGAAATAGAAATGTTATATGGGGAAAATTAAAAAGGGGAGATTTTATTGATGGGTAAGAAAATAGTTTAAAAGGTTGTCAAATAAGATGCCGAGTTGATATCTTCTGTTTCGACGATAGTTATTTGCCCGAGCCAAACACAACATTGTAAGCGAGCCAAGTGCAGAGATGATGACGATGATGATGGCGATTTTCGTGCTCTGAAAAGACGATGACGTATTTTCCAGTGTGATATACACATTTAGACTCCCTGACTCTTACGTTGGTTCCAGAACGTTCCCACCTTTTTAATTCATCCCCAGAGAATTCGGAAGGAAGACGAGATATAACACAAATCAGTTAAACTTAAACATGCTTACAAATAAAAAGGGGGGTCTTATATCGAAGAGTAATTTATATTCGAGAGAGAAAGAGTCCTACAAAATGTAACAAAGACTCAAAAGTTGATTTGTGTAGCGAGGCTTTCGTCGAGATCTTAACAACTGTCCTCAAAACATCAATCACATTTTATTTATAGTTTTTTTTCCTGCAGTAAAAACGATAAATATATTTATTTACATTACAATATTGGTTAGTTGGCTAGGAAAAGTGGCGTAAATCCGTTATCAAATCACATATTTAAAGATCAAGAAAACACTTCAGATGATGACTTCATATGCCTTTTTTAGTCTTAATACAAGTAGTTGTAGTAGTATTTGTCGGTCGATATAATTAAGAAAATAGAATGTGACGCAAATATACACGTGTATTATACTTCAATCTTCATTTATATTTTTAAAAGAAAACATTGAAGTGTTTTAAAGAAATTAAATATTTTTTTAAAAAGTAAAATCAAGAGATCTTCCAATTTTCAGGATCCAAAATATACACACGTGTATAACAAACTTCAAATCTTAAGTTATTTTTTTATCCATTTTCATCTTTTATACAGTATATTTTTCTAGTAAGGATGTTTTTTAATAATTTAAATAATAATTGAAGAAATAAGTTAAACCAGACATGTTACACGAGTTAGAGGGGGGGGAGCTGAAATTAAAAAAAATAAATAAAAAACTCACCCAATGACCAACATTAGAGACTTAACTTGGTTTTAACATCATTCAATTTTTAAAGATAAAATTATGTACATGTATATATGACAATATGAATGATATATAAACACAAGTTTCTGCAATATGTCTCACCTTATTCCACAAGGTCCTTGGCCCGATACTGTCGGCATATAAAAACAAAGATAGACACAAAAATAGGGTTCTCCTCCTCTTGACGGAGTCAACTTTTGGGGAAAAATTTAAAATTTTTTCCCCCCAAACTTTAAACAAATGAGTAATTACTTTTTCTTGGTTCTTGTTTTCCCCCTTCACACAAGATTTGTAAACAATAAACATGCACTATTTAAAGATATGGACTTATTGTCTTAAAAAGACAAAAGTTGTTACGAAGTCCGATGTAAGGGTGTTAATTTGCAAAGTTGTCTAGATTTTTCTTTGGTCTGCTAATTGTTGTATATAAAACTTTAATCTCAAGAGATATTTAAAGACAAAGAAATAACATGAAATAATTACTTGGTTTTTATAATTAAGGATGAAATAAAAATCACGTCAAATCACTTAAATCTGTTAACCTCTCTAATAAAAATACATTTACTAATTACTTGCTAATATTGATTTACAACTTTTTATTGGTGTATATTACGAGATACATACATGAAAAATAACTAAAATTAGGATAGAAAATTTGTTTTTTTTGTTACTAGGGTGTGTTTTTTAGACTACGCAAAAAGTATTTAAAAGAAAACAGGGATAGTTTATTAAAATAGGTGTATGTGCATATTCAATATATTTTTTCACATTAACTTGCTTTTTACAGAGATCTTATTCTAGCCACTACTAATGGAGCAATTAACGTATTTAGTAATTAATAGGTACTTCAAGAGAAATTGTGAAATACACAAAATTAGTTACGTATGTCACATCAATGTGTAAGGAACTGGTAAGAAAAAAAAGGGGTTGAATATTAAAACATTTTTAAGGAAAAAAATTATTTCAAATATGACTTACGTGAATGTATTTCACATCTAATGCAAGTGTTGAATGTTGTCTTATTTTCGATTATATTGAGGGGGTATTTTGACCACTACTGGTGATAAGAGTCGACAAAATAAACAATTTAATCATAAAAACAGGGCAAGTTTAGTGTTAATTGCGTGTTTGTAAGTGAATATCACGTCTATATGTAATGTGTTTCTTGTTCTAAAGGGATCAACACTAAGACACTAAATAAAATAACACTAACATTACTCTAAATTTAAGTAAGAGAAAAGAGGAGGAAATAAAGGTTTGTGTGTAAATATTTCTTTTTAAAATTAGGAAAACACGCAAATTCTTTTAACTGTAGACTTCTGTTTCCTTTCCCAATTTAAGAGGGAATAGAAAAAAAGGTTTTAGACAGATGGACGGAGCAACTTCTGTGCTAATTTTTGTTTTGCTTTTTCTTTTCGTTATTTCGTTTTTCTTTTAAGCTAAAGAATCATGATAACCTTAAACCATAATGCAGTACTAATGTGATCTTTTTCACACAATTTGGTGTTTTGTTGTTGGTTGTGAGTGAGATAATATTGTTGATAGTGCTACGGTTACTTTTTTTTATATAAATATATGTTTTGCTATTTTTTTTTTTCAGTTTTTTTTTTTTACGTTATATCCACAGCGGACGAGGACGAATAAATGTCCCGGTTGGAAAGCTGGTTTCGTCGTTTTTCCGTTGGTTGTCAGAAGATCTCAGACTGACGTCGTAGTAGAGGCTGATGGGGGCAAAGTATCGGAGGTGACGGCAATTGTAAGAGTAAATTCCTCCATAACCGTCTCAACATGGCGGCACAAGCGGTACTGAACGGACGTCAGTGCGCACGCCCGAACCTATGGCTCAAAGAGAGAGGCGGAGGCGAAAAAAGATAGGACAAGAGGAGATTAGTCTTTCTAAGAGAGGGGGACAAAGAAAGTGAGAGGGAATCAATGTGCATAGAGAGAGGGGTATCAAACTAAAGGTGTCTGCGTGATGGGGAACTTTTTTTAAATAAAGAGAAAATACAGAGAAACAACTAAAATAATTTTAAAAAATCTGGTAAAAAATTAATTAACAAAAATAAGTATATTTTTAAATCGATACAAGATGAAAACTATTAATACTTTATCGTTAAAATGGGGTTAATTTCGATAAAGGCAATTTAAAAAAGTACAGAAAAAAACTTAAAAATATATACAATTTTTTTTTCAGTTTGGTCAACAGCAAAATTTTTCATGCATTCATTTCTCTATAACGAGCTTAATATGAAAATAAACTATAGATCTACAATAAAACATCATAAAAATAACACACTTTTCTGGTGTAAACACTGTTGTTAAAAACTAACGACGTAATGTACTGAAAAGACGGAGATCAACGGAGGAAAAGAATTTTACACAGAACACAACATAATTAATAATAAATTTATTGCAATAACAAAAACCGATTGAAGAAATAAAAAAACAGTGTCAGAAAAACAGTGTATCGAATTTATGAATAAAGTCAAACTTGTCTTACAGTCCTATTCAATATTTTTCCAGTGAATAAAAAAGTAGAGATCGACAGATTGAACGAAAGAAAGAGAGAAGGGTGGAATGTAATGATGTCATCATCAGCCAATCAAAATGCTGCAATGTAGGACAGCACCTTGCTTCTTCCTTACCTTGAGAAACACGTACTACAGGATGGTCTTCTTGAAAGGGAGGATCAGTTTATCATGAAGATTGTATTAAAAACCGATCCCCTACTATATGACCATCGTATCTTTTACACATTCGTATACATTTAGAAGAAAAGTGAGGGAAAACGCTACCAAAGCAAAAGTTTCTGTGAAAATAAGAGCTTAGTTTAATATTAGTTACTTTTTAAGACAAAAAAAATCCCAATCATCATGATTTCAATAAGGCTTACAAGAAATTAAAAGAAGAATCAATGTTTTTTTAAGTAATTATTTTTCTTACTAAAAAAAGAAAACAAACACGGTGTCTCTAAATAAAATATTACATATGAGAAAGATAATCCATGTTGGCATTTATATTTGCTATTTATCTTTCATTTCAGCATTTAATTTAAAACTGGTTAAAAAGCATTTCTTATTAACAACATTATACCAGAAATTTGAATTGTTATTGAAAAAGAGAAAAAAGTGTTAAAACAAACAAACATATTTTTGCTTGAGAAAGACATCAATTAGTTTTAAAATAGAATCACTAGAATAGAAAGGAATGTACACACACACATCATATAAATATTATATATATATATACTTCATTTTTTATATGTGAAAAATTTCTATTTCATGCCTGTTTTTTAATTGACCCCACCATCCACTCCAGATGTGCACACAGGTACATAGAGAATGAACAGCCTTTTATTATTATTATTGTCCTTGTTTTCTGGTATTCTATTTCAGATCAAAGTGTAGTACTTGCTTGATTCCAGTTTTCTGGCTTGGAATTAGTTACACTTTCCAAATGAAACATATATACAAACATATATTAAGTGGTGTTGGATTTAAATTTCCTTTCTCTACTATAATTAGCATGCACCACACCTGGTCAGTTGTGTGACCCTTAACAGCACCCTAGTCTGAAAAGTGAACAGTTCTGGAGTAAATGCTGTGAAGAGTAGATGCTTCCCAGACACACGGGAAGAATACTTCTTGAAACAGGACATGCTAGATTTGTGACTAAGAATAGACTTTTGTAATATTCGCTAGTGTTCCTTTTCAGGGTCAGAGAGAAGGCATGTAACACATTTCTACACTTTGTTACCATCTATAAAATAGAACTTTCATTTACACTATTCTGACTTCTACCAAGCCATTCTATATTATTTTGTTTCTAATGTTTAATTTATTGTAGGGAAAAATAAAGCAAACTGCCACAAATTCACAGAGCTGCACATCCAAATCCACTCTTTCAGTTGTCTGTTTTCTTCCTCCCCTCTTGTTCACTGCCACTGACTTTATGGGTTCAAAGGCAGGTAGACTAATCCGTAAGCAGTACAACTGGGTTAAGGCAGCACATCCAAACTATTCCATCAACCATTTTCTGTTATAAACGACAGAATGAGTCTTCCCTGGTTTTTCTTTGTATCATGGAGCAAATAGCATTAGTTGGTGCATGCCCTCAGCCTTTTCAAGCATAAGTGGATTTCTTGTGCACACACACACATACATATATATATATATATATATACATACATACATATATATATATATATATATATATATATATATATATATATATATATATATATATATATATATATATATCAGGAATAAGATAAGAACAAATAGAGTATAATTCCACTGCCCATAGCATTTAATTAAAAAAAAAGAGCTCAATATAGAGTAAAGCTTAATATTATTTATCATAGGACATTAAAACAAAAAATATGTTAAAAATTGCTACATAATAGCTTTCATGTTTCAGCACTAAGCTGTGCTTCTTCAGGCAATGGTAAATGACTGGGGAGTAAATAATTATTTTTAATTTCAAAAGTAAAATACCCTTCTTTTTTCGAAAGAGAAGAGAAGACAAGAAAACAAGATCAGAATTAAAATGTGGCTTGTGGGTTTACCCTGATTAACCAATTAGCTGTCTTGCTTTAGAAATTAAAAATAATCATTTATTCACCAGTCATTTACAATCGCCTGAAGAGTCACAACATAGTGGTGAAACACGAAAGCTATTGTGTAGTGATTTTAACGTTTTTGTTTAAATCTCCAATAATATATATATATATATATATATATATATATATATATATATATATATATAAGAATAATAAAACTAAAAAAGTTACCTCAATTATACTGTAGAAAAAACATGTGAATTTTTAATTGTGAAATCTAGAACACTGCGAAATGCAGTAAAACGAACAGTTGAAATGTCTTGAATTTGCAGAAAAAATACATTTACACATTCACAGGCAATTTAACCCCCCAAAGATGGCCTCAGATGAGATTGAAAGTACTTGAGAAAATAAAAACTATTTGAAAGAAAATTTTGGTATTTTTCTTAATCAATTTTCTAAGGCTACCAAGAAATTAATCTGTGAACTTGAAAGGATCACAACCAAAATAAATCAACATGATATGTTTAAATTATTTAACAAAACCTGTTAGAATGAAAACATGCTGCCTAAATACACATATAAAGGTGTGTGTGTACACACACACACACACACACATATATATATATATATATATATATATATATATATATATATATATATATATATATACATACATATATATATATATATATATATATATATATATATATATATATATATATATATATATATTGGTTCTGCAAAATCCTTCACCACTATAATCAAATCATATGCTGCTGTCTGGGTTGTCAGTTCCTAGGAATTGAGCTGCTTGACCCTCATAGGTAGAATATGATGGGAGAATCCACCACAAATATATATATGATTAATACAAATAAAATTTCTCACTCAGCTGATTGATGTTATATTTGGCAGCTATAGCAGATATACAGATTTAAGTAACCAAATATTTTGGTAGATATCTGTACCTACAGTAAGTACTATTAAAGCTGCCCAGATATATTTGGTAACCCCCGCAACAGTAAGAAGAAATTAGGGAAAAAATAAAAAGGAGAGGGTAAAAGAAAATGTGAAGGTGGAAAGGTATCAGTTACCAAAAGAACATTGTGAAAAATGAACTGAAAATTCAGTGAAAGAAACAAGATAAATATATCATCCACAGAGAGAATAGAAAGAACTAAACATGCTGGAGAAAATGGTCAGTTCTTTGTATGGCTCTAGAATGTAACTGACTTCTCCTGACATGCTTTATCTTTACAAAAGCTAGATCAGACCAAAAATGGAATATTCCTATTATATCTGGGCTGGAGCTATCCGATCCTCATTTTCCAGCCTCAACAGAGTTCAAAAGTATTTCCATGGTCTTATTGGTGATGAATTGTTTTCTGCCCTACAACCTCTTTCCCACAGATGAAACTCATATGGAATTTCTTTCATATTTTATCAGTCCAGCAGTAGTCATTTATCATGTATAACAAGAGCTACTCTACCCTTACTCCCTGGGCATTTATATAGTCTATGCCTTAGCTATGCTAATTCAACAGGTATTTACATATCACTACAGAAACATTGCTAGCCTCTAGCTACTCTATCGCTATTTTCATCACAGATGTTTCAGCAAACTACATATTTTCATGAAACTACTATTTTCATCACAGATGTTTCAGCAAACTACATATTTTCATGAAACTACTATTTTCATCACAGATGTTTCAGCAAACTACATATTTTCATGAAACTACTATTTTCATCACAGATGTTTCAGCAAACTACATATTTTCATGAAACTACTATTTTCATCACAGATGTTTCAGCAAACTACATATTTTCATGAAACTACTATTTTCATCACAGTTGTTTCAGCAAACTACATATTTTCATGAAACTACTATTTTCATCACAGATGTTTCAGCAAACTACATATTTTCATGAAACTACTATTTTCATCACAGATGTTTCAGCAAACTACATTCCTTTGTTTGACGAGTCCATTCTTTCATGACTAAGATCTGCCATGCCACCTACATTGAATCGACTCATCTTTATTCCTTTCATATTCAATTGAAGAGAAAGTTCCACTCAGATAGAGCTACTGCATTGTGGAAAAAGACTCCCAAGAGGATACTTCCCCAGTTATTACAATCTTAATGTCTTCAATACGAAGGTCAAATGCTATCTATTCTACATATTTCCTTTACTACCATGTAGTTTCTATTCTATATCTGCTATCAATACTGTATTGTCTGCATATCTTATCTTGTTAAGATTGTAGCCACCAATAATGAATCCTACGACATTTGATTTAAAGAAAAACATATTTAAATGAAAGATTAATATCTATCTATTTATATATATATATATATATATATATATATA